GCAGGCGGAGGTCCTGAATGAGGTTAGGTACGTTGTCCGGCTAGCGGGCCACTAGCCATGCTTGCCCTACTTGGCTTGCAGGCTAAAGGGGAAGCCCAGTTTGTAGGGTATCCCCTTATTGTGGAGCACCTCGTCGTGGGTAGGAGGGCCCTCCTGGCGTCTAACGTGAGGCCTAACAGGTCCTGGAATAGGGAAATCTCTGCATCACAGCATTTTATCGTGGGTGCATTCCTGGTTGCTGCCATAATCTTGTCTTTGAGGCTGGCCATGTGGATACTGCATATGACGTCTCGTGGCCTGCCATCACTGTTTGGCGCTTCTGGCCCCAGCACCTGCCGGAAAAGTGCCTCCAGGGTGGTTGCCACCGGAGCACCATCAGGTAGGCCCCGAATCCGGATATTCTGTCGGTGGCTCCTGTACTCCAGGTCCTCTAACTGTTGGCACAGGGCCAAGAGCATGTTGCCCTGTCTGGTCGTGGCAATCTCTGCTGATTTGTGTTGCTCCTGGCACCCCAGCGCCTCTGCCTCCATAGTGTCCACCCATGCTTCCTAGTTTGAGAGGTTGGCCCGCAGGCCCGCCAATTCTTCTCGGACCACATTCTTAAATTCCCAGACCAGGGCGCTGGTGTCCGCCTTGGTAAGCATATAACCCGTGGTCCGGAACACCTCAGCTTTAATCTGGGTAAGGGCTGGTTCCATGTGACTATCCTGCAGGGAGTATGCCATGCTCTCCGTGACTGGTGACGCCAGCGCCATTTTGTCTGCAGACCCAGGGCCTCGCAGATCCGACAGTGTAGAGATGTAATTGTCCCGTGCCTCTGCGGGGTAATCCCATCTGTAAGGTACCAGGACCTAATTGCTTCTTCGTAGGGATGACCGATATTATTTTTTTTAGAGCCGATACTTGATAATCTGTGAACTTTCAGGCCGATAGCCGATAACTTACTGATATCGATATTCTGTACATTTATTGTTTTGAAAAAATAAACAATTTCTACACAAATCTGCCATTCGTTGAACATGTTTAGCTTTTTTTTTTTTTTTTTAATTGGTAAATAAAAAATAAATAATACAGAAACATACCAGTCAGATTGCAGCAAAAGAATGGTGAAATGGTCAAATTTAACCACTTTTTTAAAATAAATATCAGTCAAAAGGTAACTACAACGACGACGTCCAATTGCACATAGCCACATTGTCCATACTTAGATTAACCCCGTAAGGACGGCGGGCGTTCTATGCTGTCCTTTTTGGGGTGGTCCTGAACGCCGGCAGGTGGCATCGAACGTCATCACCGTCCTTACTACTTACCGGGTCCCCGCTGTTCCCACGCCTGTGGTTGCGATCATGGGGTATGCCTGGGAGCTCAGACAGACCCCCTCTACTGGATCCGGCAGGGTCGTCGCAATCACATGGCCGGAAAAGCCAGCTTATGCAGTGCCTGCAGGGGGCCTGACTGATTTATCAGGCAGTCCCCCTCATGCCTGATAAAAAGTTTTAAAAAGTTAGTAAAAGTTATTAAACAGTTTTTAAATTAAATAAAAAGTACTTAGATGTGTGTGTGTGTGTGTGTGTGTGTGTGTGTGTATATATATATAATTACTTTTATATACACATACATACCTCATTAATAAAAGTGTATTTTAATATTATATATAATTAAAATACACTTAGAATAACGTTAATTTTATATATATATATATATATATTACAAATTTAAATAATAAATACATTGAAAAAATTTAATAAAAAAAAAATAAAAAAAAATTATATACCAGTTTTAATTTGTTCTAACTGTATTTTGATATTAATATACATATATATTAAATTCAAAATACATTTAGAATTACATTATAAATACATATATGGCTCTCTCTCGCGCTCTCTCTCTCTCGTTCTCTCTCTCTCTCTCTCTCGCTCTCTCGCTCTCTCGCTCTCTCTCTCTCTCTCTCTCTCTCTCTCTCTCTCTCTCTCTCTATATATATATATATATATATATATATATATATATATATATATAATATTTTTACTTAATTAAGGCATTTTATTAATTACAATCTGAGGGACCTGCCCGACAACCCAGGCAGAAAGTCCGGAGAATTTGGCTCGCAAGCCCTGTATTTAACCCTGTAACTTTCCAGGGCACCATAAAACCTGTACATGGGGGTACTGTTTTACTCAGGAGACTTCACTGAACACAAATATTAGTGTTTAAAAACAGTAAAACATATCACAACGATTGTTGTGATACAGTTTACTATTTTTAACCCCTTAAGGACCAAACTTCTGGAATAAAAGGGAATCATGACGTCACACATGTCATGTGTCCTTAAGGGGTTAAACACTCATTTTTGTGTTCAGCGACTTCCCCCGGAGTATAACAGTACCTCCCATGTACAGGTTTTATTGTGTTTTCAAAAGTTACAGAGTCAAATATAAGGCTTGAATTTAGTTTTTTTCACATTGAAATTTGCCAGATTGGTTATGTTGCCTTTGAGACCGTATGATAGCACAGGAATGAGAATTACCCCCATGATGGCATACCATTTGCAAAAGTAGACAACCTAAGTTATTGCAAATGGGGTCCAGTCTTTTTTAGTAGCCACAAACACTGGCCAAAATTAGCGTTCAATTTAGTTCTTTGCATTTTTCACATACAACAAGTATGACTGCTAACTTTGGCCAGTGTTTGTGACTAAGTGGCTACTAAAAAAGATCTTCAAACATAAGAAGCAAGGGTTTTAAATCGTGTCTCATTTTCTTTCCACCACTCAAGTGGATTGCCCTTTCTATTGATCACTGGTTCTTTCAAATAAAGATGAAACTCATCATCAAGGCTGACTTTTGGTAAAGTTAGAGAATCCTCTACATGAAGCCCCAATAAAACGCTGAACATGGCATCAATTACGCTATGTTTAAGCCTTTTTTCCATGTGTTTTTCTTTTTGTGAATTTTTATGTTTCTGTAAATCATCATTCTGCTCTTCCAGACTAGTAGCATCAGGCTTTTCCAGATGTGACCTTTCTAGAACCTGCACCTCATTTTGCATATCTTCTGTCAGTCATTCTTTTGCCTTGGCCAATACATTATCAGAAGAGAAAGCATGATATTTGAATTGAGGATTTAAAAGACATGCCAACACAACGTTTATATTCTCTTCATGTTTCAAAAAAATGTTTGAGGCTTTCCTTCATGACCTCCCTGAATGTTTTAATGCAACATGTAGTGGGTGCTTCATTCTCTTGAAGAAGCATCTTCAGCACTCTCACACATGGAATGACAGATGACACACTTGAGTCGTTATGACTCACCTCTAGTGTCACTTCCTTTATTGGGAGGAGGGTCTGAATGAGATTTGCTACAATCGCCCACTAATCAGCATTAAGGCAAGACTATCCTCCATGTTCAGTAGAATAGATGCAAAAAGCTCACTTCTGTTCCAGCATTCTTTGCAGCATGTGGCATTCCATCGTGTTGGAACAGCATGAATCAGGCTGTTTTTGGGCAGGCCACGACCTGACTGACCCCTCAGGCGGTGCTTGGCAATGAATGAATGGTGGAAATGGCTTGCGCACTTCTTTAGCATGGCAATTATGTCGATCACAACTCTCTGGCTTGACAGATCATTATTTACCACATGTTGCAGGGTGTGTGCCATGCAGCTGAGATCTAACACTTCAGCAAGCTTCATTCCTTTCACCATGTTTGCTCCGCTGTCTCGAAGCACAAGCATCACTCGATCTTAGCTTATCTCCCAGTCTTCAAGCATGCCTAGAAACATTTGTTTAATGTACTCGCCAGTGTGGGATCCTTGCATAACCTTTGTTTCAACACCAACTGCCTTTTTGTCCATCCATTATCAATGAAGTGACATGTAAGACTCATTAGTGATTCTGTTGATCCGGACCAGCAGTAAGTAGTGAATGAGAGTGAATTGCCAGTGTTCTCTGGTTGTAACATTGTTTTTACTTTCTGAACCACCTTGTGATGAATCTCGGTTTATCATTTCGGTTCTGTAATACTATTCATTCTTCGGTGTGCACCTTGGCTCAACTATGGACATCAAAAGCTTAAAGCCAGAGTCAGACACTATTTTAAATTGCAGGTTATCCTTAACCATCATCTCTGTGATTACTCTGTCCAGAAGATTGGATCTTTCATCGGAATTTTGCCACTTTGTGTGTTTCTGAAATAGGTCTTTTTTTGGCTGGAATAGAGTTGGTGTTTCATACGATTCCCTTTCTTTTGTTTTCTATGCTTCATTAAAAAATTCAACATGGTGAATTCTTAGATGGGTCCAAAGATTTGATGTATTCTTGGTTTTTGCAGTTACAGATCCTATGCTCACATTGATTTTGCATGTGTTGCACATTGCCTGTCCTGGGGAGGGTTGACTAAAATAGTCCCAAATTATACTTTTACTTTTTCTTTGTGCATCCATATGCATTAAAAGAAGAGGGTTACAGGCTACAGTGAAGTTTAGAGTAAGTTGTGGGTGTAAAAAAAAACAAACCCAATGTCAATGTTAATATGAATGAATATGAGATCCCAGCATGTACAGTTACTGTTACTGATGCTGATAGCAGTGTAAATGCTGTCAGCAGTCATATTTCTGTCACGCTCACCCGGCCAGTACATACTGGGACGAGATCATTGAGATTAGATGATCCTTCCTAGCCTAGAATGTATGCCTACTATGTGCTATTGGCCTTTTACTTATAGGAGCAGTAAAGATTAAGTAACAGCGCACACACAAACAATACAGTGTTTACATTTCACAAAGCTAAAAGCACCGGTAATCATACTTAGCTAATAAACATGTGGACGAGGGGGGAGTAAAATAATTATATATAACACTAAAAGCTTGTGTGACTTCATTACTACTTTATATTAATTGCATGAAAAAAATCATTGGTGTGAGTGATTTGAAAATTGAATGTGGTACTAATAAGCACAGCAGAGGGGTAGACTAGACTATATATATATATATATATAGAAATGATTTTAGCAAAAATATTTCCTCTACACACTAGTAATAATGCTGCCAGTGTGTAGAGGAAATATTTTTGCTAAAATCATTTCAATATGTATTATTATATTATTTACTAGTCAATTGTCCCCAAATGAAGGATACAAAATGGACCAAGGTATCTGGGAGCAAACTTCATGCCAGGAACTTTCAGTTTAAAGTTGCGCAATGATAACCACACGCTCTCACCCACTAGGTAAAGAGGGTTGGCACCCCCCGCCGCTTATCAGCATAAAATTTTAAACGATCAGCTGCAGTTTCTAGAGCGGAGTGAACTTTGATCCAAGTATCAAGAATAGAAGCAAGGTGATCATCCAAAGCAGGGATAGCAGTGTCAGAGAAAACAGCCAGCAAAACAGTAGAATGACGACCGTTATTAACAAAGAATGGGCTATGTCCGGAAGAGTCATGGGTAGCATTGTTCCTAGCAAACTCGGCCCAGAGTAGTAATTCGGCCCAATTATCTTGTGTGCCATTAACAAAACAACGCAAATACAATTCCAATGACTGGTTAGCCCTCTCAGCCGTGCCATTGGTTTGAGGAAGAAAAAGACAATTCAATGCTCAACTGTTTATTAAAAGCCCTCCAAAACCGAGACACAAACTGAGAACCCCTGTCAGATACAATATTGTTAGGAATGCCATGCAGTTGGACAATTTCTCGTATAAAAATAAGAACCAGGTCTTGTGAGGTTGGCAACTTTTTGAGTGGAACGAAATGAGCCATCTTGGAGAAGCGGTCAACCACCATAAGGACGGTGGTATAGTCATTAGAACTAGGAAGTTCTACGATGAAATCCATGGACAAGTGGAACCATGGAACACTAGAAGTTTGAGGTACCTTAGAAACTGCACAAACTGAAGATCCCTGTACATATTCCTTAACATCCTTCCTGAGAGAATCCCACAAAAATCTCAGGAAAGCGGATATGGATTTATTAATACATACAATGTAAGGTGGAGTGTCTTCTGGTTACAGATAATGTCAGGTAAATCCTAAAAGTAGAACAGATAATAACACTTGATAGTGCAATATTGTCTGAATAGTAAATGAAGTGAGGATAAAATATATAGTAACACACTCACAAAATTAGAGCCTGTAATACAAGGCTCAATTATCCAGCGCTGTGGGATTAAGGATCACCACTTCCTTCTTTTAGCTTGCCAGGAGATGGAAAAAATCCAATGTCCTCTCACATATCGGTATAAAGTGGTAAAAGTGCTTTAATAGTAAAGTGCACAAACAGAAATAAAAAACAAGACCTTACAGTTTAAGGTAATCTTGTTAGAGTAGTCTCTAGCTGCAATACGCGTTTCGCCTCGTCTGGAGGCTTCCTCAGTTGCTCTGGTTGATTGTAGTTCATAATTTGTATTTATATCCAATCTTTTGCACCCTTTTTTTTTGCTCTCCTCTCCCTGTTCGCGGCGTTTTCGCTTCCGCGTTCCACCGGTGGAACGCATCAATCGAGTCACTTCCGGTTTCGGCTTTTGCGTTCCACTGGTGGAACGCATGCAATATTCCTCCGGTTTTCATGTGTTAAGATGTAAATAAATTGTGAGAAACCGTCCATATGGGTATAGAGGGGCATAAGTAGCATAAATCTCATAGTTCATGAATGAAAAAAGACATAAGTATTAAATAGGCATTCCCAACAATCAGATAAAGGGCATAAGCATTGGATAAACATTCCAAACATGTAAATCTGACAAGTAACTGTCTAGGGAAGAAAGGGACCCTAATGTAAATCAACCTTAAAAATAGGAAGATAGGCAAGTGCTAACTAAAATGTAAATATAATAATAGGCATGACAATATAAAAGAATAAAAAAGGAAACCTATTAAGACCATATAAAAAAACTAAATGGATTTATTAATGCCTGGATGTCCAGCCCATAAGTTGTCGTGGAACACCCTCATGACATTCTCTCTTTCAACCAACGGAGCAAATAATTTATCTAGTGGTTTATTGCATGGTGCCTGAGACTGAGCCTCCATGATAGCACCAAGCAGAGGGGATGTTAAGGAAAGAACAGTGGAAGCAATGATACACTCAGGTGGAATAATAGGGGATGTCTATTGTTCTTGTACTGATTCAGTGTCAAACTGTCTAGATAAGGCGTCCGCTTTCACGTTTTCTCTAGCCTCCTTAGACCATATTGTATTACTATCCCCCTTACGTGTCATATTGGTGATGAGGGCGAGAACCCTTTGATAAATCTCCTGTAATAATTAGCAAACCCAATTAACCTTTGGATGGCTTTTAATCCATTGGGCAATGGCCCATGTAGAACAGCCTTTAGTTTATGAGGATCCATCTGAAAACAGAGATTCTATACCCCAAAAACTGTACCTCAGTCTGGTCAAAGATTCATTTTTCAAGTTTGCAATAAAGTTTATTTTTAAGTAAAGTTTGCAACACTTGTTTGACATGTTCGTGGTGAGTCTGAAGGTCAGGGGAATAAATAAGGATATCATCCAGGTATACTAGGACAAATTAATAAATATAGTCCATGAGTACATCATTAATAAAATCCTGAAACGCGGCTGGAGCATTGCATAACCCGAAAGGCATGACCAGGTACTTCTAATTTCCACTTCTAGTGTTATATGGCGTTTTCCACTCATGATTTTCCTTAATCCTTACCAAATTGTATACACTCCTGATGTCAAGTTTAGTAAGGGCGTTAGCACCCTGGAGTCTGTCAAACTATTCGGAGATGAGGGGAATAGGATAGGCATTTTTAATGGTAATCTTGTTTAATGCCCTGTAATCAATGCATCAGTGTAATTCTCCATCTTTTTTAGATACAAAAAAAGAACCCTGCAGGCAAGGATGATTTACGTATGTGGCCCTTTCTTAGTGAATCTTTGATGTACTCATCCATTATTCTACTCTCCTGTGGCTATAAGGCATACACTGCCCCCTTGAGTGGCATAGCGCCAGCTAGCAGATTTATGGAGCATTCAGAAGACCCGTAAGGGGGGAAAATATCTGTCTGACTCTTACTGAATACCTCCCTAACCTCCCAGTATTGTATGGAAACTTCGGAGGTCAGAGGCGTAGTAGTGGATAAAGTAATGATGCCCACTCTTTTGGTAATGGGTAACATACATCTCTCAGTACAGTCTTTACCCAATTCCAGTATTTCTCCCAATATCAGGATTGTGCTTAATGAGCCAATTAAATCCTAATATGATGGGACAAGAAGGAGAAGCAGTTATCTGGAAAGTTATGTCTTCCTTGTGTAAAGCTCCAATGGTAATGTTAATAGGTAAGGTTTCGTGGGTAATCAAGGGTTGAGAGAGAGGTCTCCCATCAGTAGCTTCAACGGCCAGAGGTGATGAGCTCTCCTTGATAGGTATAGACTGTTTTTTGTTTTTTTTAACTAAATGTATATCAATTAAGTTTCCTGCTGCACCTGAGTCCATCAGGGCTTTGCATGAAAAGTTCTTCTTGTTACAATTGGCCAAAATATCAAGGAGGAATCTATTTTTGTTCTCAGAGGACGTGCCCATCACACCTAAGACCTGTCCCCTTAGGGTTCTTAGGTGTGGAAGTTTTCCAGACGTATGGGACAAGCACTCCTCATATGTCCTTTTTTACCACAGTATAGACCTAGACCCTCTTTTCTCCTCTATTGCCTTTCTGCCTCTGACAGTCTAGTGACCCCCAACGGCATAAGTTCAGGTTTAGAATGTATATAGAGGTCAGGAACAATAGGTCTGGAGAAGTGAGGTGCCAATGACCTAGCCATACGTCTGGGTCTAATTCTGTTATCACTCTGCTTGACAAATGTGATAAACTCATTTAACCTGTTAGGTAGGTCTTTGGCAGCAATCTCATCCAGAATTGCCTCAGAAAATCCTTTTTTTAAATGCAGAGATTAACCCGCTTTTAGTCCAGTCTACCTCAGAAGCCAAGGTGCGGAATTCAATGGCATAATCTGAGATAGACCGGTTCGCTTGTTTGATATGCATTAGGACAGTGGAGGAGTCATCCTCCCTGCCTAATGGTTCAATTGTTAATTTGAATTCCACAAGGAACTCCTGGTAATTATATGCAATACTCCTATTACTCTCCCATAATGGATTGGCCCAAGCTAAGGCTTTACCTTTAAGTTGGTTCGTTAGATAACCAATTTTAGCTCTATCCGAGGGAAAAGATTCCAGTGAGGCCTCAATGTGGTACTCAGTTTGATTCAGAAATCCCCGGCATTCTGGAATATTACCATCAAAATGCGGGGGAGGAGATAGGGAGATAGTAGGTGACTATCGGCGGACTATCGTACTATAGGCGGAAGTACTTTAGGCAGAGGTGACATAGTCGGATAAACTTCAGGCTGTAAATGCGCTGTTCAAGTAAGAAGCGCAGTGAAAGCCTGGGCATACTGATCCATATGGTGATCATGCTCCTCTAACTTTCTCTCACAAGCTGCTGTGTGTTGACACAGTTGCAGGATCTATGGTCATGTCAAGATTACTAGTTGATCCAGCACGCAGAACTGTGTCACACCTAGGACTAAAGGTAACGTCTTACCGGGCCTTAGAATGGTCGGACTTAATGTACCAGAGAATAGTCAAAATACTTGCCTGAGGTCGAGGATACAGAATTAGACACAACTATGAGGGAAAGCCAAAAGTCAAGGATGCCAGAATACAGGGAAGTCAAAATGAAGCCAAAGTCAATAACCAGAAGTAAACGCTCAGGAACACACTCTCGGACAACCACTAAGGGAAACCACGGCAGGGCAATGAGGGAAGGCAAGAAAGGAGTTGAAATAAGTCTCCTTTATATCCGATTGGCCATACTCGGCCTATGACCCCAGAACGTGCGTGTGCGTCCTTTGCATGATGTCACATGCACGTTGACGTCGTCAATACTGTGGACGGACGTGGGGCTTCAAATTGGTATGGATCCGCAGCGGATGGCGTCTTTCAGCATGCCGCAGGAGCCAGATACACTGGCACAGAGCCGCCGAGCAGCATCCCCACCAATGCCAGGAAGGTAGTTATCCTCACAAACACCACAAGGTGGGGACGAACATG